TATGGAGCGGCCTCTGGTTTCCAAATAACCTGCCCAGATCCAGCTAGGCCCATAGCACCCACCCATGGATCGAGGACACTCATCCACGTGGTCCTGGGTGTTTGTTCTGTTTGTGTGAGTTTTCACGATTTTGGCTCTGGATAGCAACCGGCTCCCCGGCTTTTAAAATTCCTGCCGGCTTTTCAATTCCAGCCGTGGCATGGTGCAGTTTTTTCAGTTCCAGCCTTTTGCTCCCCTCTGCGGCTTATGGTATGGCAATGTAAGTTGTCTCAATTATACCCACGCCTCCCCTCTGGTCCAGAAAAATAATTTATGGTCCAGGCTGGCACCAGACCATGACAGCTGGACTTGTTAAAAGTTAATATTCTTGGAAAAAAAGAGGGAGAAAGGCTGTTACATTTTTTATGTTGCATTTGTTTAACTCTATGAAGCTATAAACTTTGCATGTCTAAAACATCCGATGGTCCTAATAAAGAGCTAATAAAGGCAGGTAAAAGGTAGGTGTGGCGGGCAGGATGAGAGAATAAGTAATAGTAGAAATCTGGGAGGAGAGGATCAAAAAGAAAGAACAAGGAGAGGAGGAAGCTAGGAGCCAGGCATACAGCCACACAGCCAACCATAAGAGAAAGGTAAAAAAAAAATCAAGAGGCAAAAGGTAGATGGGATAATTTAAGTTAAGGAAAACTGGCTAGAGAAAAGTCAAGTTAAGCCTGGGCATTCATAAGAAAATAATAAACCTCTATGTATTTATTTGGGAGCTGGGTGGTGGGTCCCTCAAAAGAGTAAAGATCAAAAAGCAACCAACTACAATAGGCAATTCCATTGGGCCTTCACCTGAGTGTCCAGCCCTTCTCCCAGCTGGTTGTACAACTGGGCCTTAATTAATGAGGCCTCAAGGGTCTTTTGCTTTTGTTTGTTTTTAGGTAAGCTAGGAGATATAGAGTACAAAGTCAGAATGGACAGGAAGTGCACTTATGCAGCAATGGAGAAACTATGGCTAATACTGGATGAAGGTCCCAGGAAAAATGAAGGTTGCCTGGTAGTCACCTTAGTGAAAATATTCACAACAAATGATAAATTTAGTTGGTACTGTTATGTCTCATAATATTTTTAGAAACAAAATTTGTATGTAAGGTTAAAATGACTAAATATAATTACAGTAGATCTCTCAGTATTTCCTCTTATTTACAAAAATGTTTCCCCATCCAAGGTCCTCAATATCTTTGAAGCTCTTAGTGAAATGTAAGCGTTCTCCCTCTCAAGATCTCAAGGGGTTTTTGCCTTTAAAAGTAGTCTATAATAGCTAGTCAGGGCTTCTCTCCCTCACCTGGCTGAGGAGCCCATTTGTGCAAACAAGAAAAAACTTCCTCTTGCTTTTACATCAACCGTACTGGTGACTGGTTTCTTGGGGTGACCATCCTGAGGAATTAGCATCCCAGAGTTGGGGGTCTAACATTTGGGGACTTGTGGCTGGAGAGATGGCTCAGAGGTTGGGAGCATTGCCTGCTCTTCCAAAGGTCCTGAGTTCAATTCCCAGCAACCACATGGTGGCTCACAACCATCTGTAATGGGGTCTGGTGCCCTCTTCTGGCCTGCAGGCATACACACAGACAGAATATTGTATACATAATAAATAAATAAATATTTTTTTTTTAAAAAAGAAACATTTGGGGACTCATCCGGAATCTGGTATGCCCCAGGCCCATTACCAGGACTTGGTTGGAGGTAAGAACAAGCTGGCCATTTTTATTGTCTTGAATATGTCTATGTCTTATGTTATTTTTGTAGTCTGGCCAGTTCTGTATTTGTGCCTGTACAGGACTTGCATTAGAATTGGACCAGGAGGGGAGGCAGACATGCCCTGAGACCCTTGGTCCCGGTCTGGAGTCTGCTCCAAGAGTAGTCTAGGGGAAGAAGAGAGACCAGGTCTCTCTCCCCGGGGAGCCTGATTTCGGTCGGCCAGCTCCCTCTCGGTTTGTACTTTCGATTTTAGATTGATCTGTTGAGGCACGGCTTGGGATTTTTGTCTTGTGTGTGTGCCTGTTTTTCGTCTGTTATTTGTTCATATTGATATCTCACTAGTTATGGGACAATGAGTTACCACCTCTTTGACTTTAACTCTAAACCATTAGAAAGAAGTCTCCGACTGATCCCAGAACCAGTCAGAGGAGGTCCAAAAGAAGAAATGGGAAATTTTCTGCTCCTTGGAATGACCTACCTTTGAGGTTGGCTGGCCGAGAGATGGAACTTTTAATATCAATACTATCTTGCAGATTAAAGAAAGAGTCTTCCAGACGGGACCCCATGGACACCCGAACCAAGTGCCCTACATCATTACTTGAGAAAGCCTCTCCTGGGATCCCCCATCTTGGGTTAAGCCAGTTCTCCCTCCACCAGGGGCACAAGCCCCAAAACCGGCCCCCTGGCCATCCTCAATGCCCCTCACACCTCTTCCCTCAGTGCCAGCTTCCCTCTCTTCCCTTCTTCCCTTGAATCAGCTTGCCTACCCCTCAATATCACCTTCACCCAGAAGGGAGGATAAAAATACCAAAACTGGCTAAAAGGAAGAACCTGGGCATCAGATAGTATCTTTCCGGTACTGACCAGGGAGCCACTTTTAAGATCAACCTCAAAATAGAGTCACCCCCTAGTAAACCGGTGGGGCCAAATATAGTATTGTCCAACAGGGTGGTCCCTTGGCTGGCCAGTTAGGCAACCAAGAGCCAGCATCTGAGACCCCTACCGCCGCTTTAGACCTCCTCCCCCCAATTTCCCTTGACTGAGCAGAGACTGCTCAACCTAGTTACAGGAGCATACTTGGTCCTCAACCAAACTAGCCTCAACTTGACCAGTTCTTGTTGGTTCTGCCTGGTCTTGAGCCCCCCTTATGACGAGGCCATTGCAATCTCAGGAGCCTATAATAACACCACTAATGCAAGCCAATGTCTTTGGGACACACACCATCAGTTAACTTTGACTGAGGTCTCGGGACAAGGAATCCGCCTAGGGCTCCCGCCCAAGTCCCATCAAGGGCTCCATAAACCACCATCCCGACCGAAGGGACAGAGGCTGATTTTTACCTGGTCCCTAGCCAGGGAATATGGTGGGCCTGCAATAAGGGACTCACCCCATGCATCTCTACTAGGGTCCTTAACACTACCAAAGATTTTTGTGTCATGGTACAACTGGTACCTCGGGTGTTCTATCATCCAACTAACACCCTGGAAGATTTCTATGACAGGTGTCCCACATGCTTTCGGAGAGAGCCGGTCACCTTAACCCTGGCAGTCTTACTGGGATTTGAGGTTGCTGCTGGGGTGGTACCGGAATGGCAGCCCTGATTCAGGGCCCCCAATATTATAATGAGCTACAGGTTGCCATTAATGAGGATATACAAACATAGAACAGTCTATCTCTAAATTAGAAGAGTCACTTACCTCCTTATCCGAAGTTGTGTTACAAAATAGGAGGGGATTAGATTTACTCTTCCTAAAGAAAGGAGGTCTATGTGCAGCCCTAGGTGAAAAATGTTGTTTCTATGCCGACCATTCAGGAGTAATCAAGGACTCCATGACAAAATTAAGAAATGGGCTAGATAAAAGACAAAGGGACCAGGAGGCCCAGCAAGGCTGGTTTGAAGGATGATTTGACAGATCACCCTGGTTAACCACCCTCATTTCAGCCATCATGGGACCCCTAATCATTCTCCTCCTGATTCTCACTTTTGGTCCCTGCTCCAGTTCATTCGTGAAAGACTGAGCATCACCCAAGCCTTAGTGCTCACCCAACAATACAGGCCCTAAAAGGGGACCCCTGATATTCCAGGATTGGAATGTTCCCAAAATAAGAGGAAGGAATGAAGAAGACATGCTTTTGTGAACTAGTCATGACCCAATCCTGACTGTTGACTAGAACGTTAGGTGTTTTCCAACAGCCTGCAGGTGTTTCCCTGTCCTTCACCTGGCCCAGCAACTGCCAGTCCCACCTTTGACATAACCAGTCATAGTAAATGCCCTTAAAATGAGTCAATCCCTGCGTTTGACAAACAACCCACTCTACCCGCTCCCTGAATATGTGGTTTTTGTGTTTAAAAGTGGCCTGTAATAGCTAGTCGGGGCTTCTATCCCTCGCCTAGCTAAGGAGTCCATTTGTGCAAATGAGAATAAACTTCTTCCTGCTTTTACATCATCCATACTGGTGAGTGGTTTCTTGGGAAGACCCGCCTGAGGAGTCAGCATCCCAGAGTTGGGGTCTAACACCATAATCTCAGTCCAAACCCAACACCAGCCATAACTCCAACCCAAACCCCAGTCATAACCCCAACACCAACCCCAACCCTAACCCTAACCATAACCCCAATCCCAACCCTACCCCTAATTCTAACCCTAATAGCAGCGGTGTAGGGCCCATGAGTCTACCCCTGCTCCCAGGTTTCATCTTGAGGACAGTTCCTGGTCAGCCAATTAAAAAATCCTGTTTGTTCCTGTGCTCCCTCTGCCCCCCCCTTGATTAGGGGCATTGTTGACTCCACCTCGGGTGTGGTAATTTCCCACCTGCCTGGGGGGTGTTCAGGCAGCAGCTGTGTATTTAAGGTTTTCCCTAAATTTGAATAAACGGCAGTCGGCTGATCTCCTTTTGAATGACCCAGCTCTCTTGTGTGCTCTTTCAATCTCCAGGCCTTTGCCCAGCTTGCGTATGGTACAGGGGTGTGCAAACTGTACCGAGTGTAATGCAGACACAGGTGTTACAGTTGACGGCCCTGCTGGGATTTCAGGAATTACACAGCAGCTGTTCAAGGTGTATTCCTTCAGGGACTATGATGCCCCTTTCTCTCTTTGAACTCGCACTAATATTAGCCATAGTGCTTCCTGTAGGGCTAATCCTGACAGAGCCCCAGGCCTGGACTCTGACAAAATTTTTATTATCTCCGCTGTATCTAGAAATAATGGGTTTAGATTGTTTTTATCTGATTTCTTTAATAAGTCATACTTTGGCCCTTATAAATAATAAAACAGACCAATAATCCCTGGCTTTACTGGAATCTATGATCAACCACCTCACTCTCTGGCTCCATGGATCTGCTTGCCCTTGTCTTTCAATGTCTAATGATTGTGAACTTCCTAAATCACCGGCTGTTCCAGCACCCACTCCTTCATCAAAGTCAACGACTGAAATGTAACCTAAGTAACCGAATGTGTGAAGTGACAAGACTGCCTGTCCTGGCTCCCTCTTGTGTTTGCTTAAACACTTATCAGCCCCTACCCACCACCTCCAACAGTCAAGTCTAACACATTTGGGATTTCCATGACTCTGGCCATGGTCCCAATGTATTACCCAAAATAATTAATGTTTATAATAAATGAAGAAGGTATAAGTAAAAAAATAATTGCTGTTATGCACAGAATAACTATGTTCTGCCAAAAACAAATGTTGCAAGGCCATTCTCCCTGCCACCTCACATTGACGTCCCTAAGGAACCTGCACTGGGACTCGAACCTACCCTCAATCACAGGCCAGAAAGAAAGGACTCGTGTGTCTTCATCTGCATGGTTGCCTGTATCTTTCTCGAATGGATTTATTATAGAATGTATGTGAACCATGTGTCTGCCTAGTGCCGGGGGAGGTCAGAAGAGGGTGTTGGCTTTCCTGGAGCTGGAGTTACAGATGTTGTGGTTTGTGGTCCTCTGAGAGAGCAGCAAGTTCTCTTAACTGCTGAACTATCCACTGGGACTTTATTATCTTTAATTGTACACTTTAGCTGGGTTGATCCTAGGACTCAGGGGACAGAGGCAGAGTGATCTGTGTGAGTTCAAGGCTAGACTGGTCTACATGGTGACATAGGACAACCAGGGCTGTAATGAGAGACCTTGTCTCAAATTAATTAACTAATTTACTAATCAATTAATTAAAACAAGCCTTAGAGACGCTTCTAAGTACATTTAAAGGTGTGTTTAGACCCACCGAATGATGTCTGTTCTGTAAGGCCTCAGCAGTTTTGGAAGTTTGGAGTGCTTCTGGCGAGTGTGAATGAGAAATCTTTGGGTGGCTGGCTGGATCTAACGACAGCCCGGTTTCTCCCGCGAGGATGGCCAGGCCTGCAAGCTTTCCTCCCTGTTCTCCTAGCTCTTGATGGCATCTCATCACAAACCCTTAAAGACGTGCTGTATGTGCTTTGGGTCCAGGGCCAAAGCCTCCAAGCTGTAGAGCTTATCGAACAGAGAAGACGTCATGTTATTTTATTGGTAAGTTAATGCCTGGGACGCTCCTCTGCCCAGGAGCCTGGAGCGCCGCGCTGGCCCTCTTTCTGTCGAGAAGTGACTCTGTCGCACCTGGCAGGGGCAGTGTTCTCACTTCTCGGCATAGCAGTAGGTTCCGTAGGCCGCCTGCTGGGGCCGGGGGAAGCCGAAGCTGCGCACCCCAGGGTCAGGGAGGCCCCCGCAGCGCGGCCGCGGCGTGGTGATGGGGAAGCGAACGCTGCCGTCCGCCAGCCAGCCTCCGTCACACCGATCTAGCCCCAAGAACTTCCAGGCAGCGTAGAGGTGCCCGACCTTGGCTACCACAGCTCCCCGCCGCCGGCAAGCCGCGTGGGCTTCAGAGAGCGTCAGTCGCCCGGGCACGAAGAACACCTGGCCTGGGAACGTGAGCGGGTGACCGATTGCCCCAAGCAGCGGGTCTGGGAGGGGGGCGCGACAGCGAAGCTCCGGAAATGGCAGCAGGAGAACCCTGGCAACGCGGTGCTTGCGGGAGCCCGGAGGAATGTTGTCAGGGACACTCCAACTCTACCAGAGCCCGCCCAAATTCTTCTTCTCCGCTAGGCTCGCCGCTCTGGGCCCCGGCCCTAGACCCTCCCCCCACCCGCCCTCCAGGCCCCGCCCACGACACTGGACGCCGGCCAGCCCCCGCCTGGTTTACAGGTCCTGCTCGTGCCATCTCTGGGGTCCTTTCACGCGACCGAGTCGAGTCCTTCCTCCTGGCCCAGGCCCGACCACGCCCTTGCTCCAGGATGGAGTCCCCAGACCGGGCACCGCTTCCACGCAGCTGACTCACCTGCCAGTGCCGAAGTGAAGCAGAAGGCGTCGTAGCGGTCACGGCTGCGATCGCGGGGCCCGTAGCTGCGGATGCCTGGCCGCCCATGACCCCCACACGGGGCGCGCGCGTTAAGCACAGGGTAGCGCACCGAGCCCTCCAGCAGCCAGCCGGCGTTGCACCAGTCCAGCCCCTCTGTCCACGCTGGCGGAGGAGGGGGCGGGGAGAAGGGAAGTCACCGGCGCAAGCTTGCTGGGACCGGTGTGCAGCCCAGGGCGGTCAGTCGGGGATCCGGTACTCACCCTGGTACAGCTGACTATAAGTGGCCAGGCGTCCGTCCTGCTCCTCGCACGCCTGCTTCGCCTCGAAGTAATTGAACTGGTAGCGACCCCGACTGGGTTGGTACGGAAACACCACACCTGGTGGATGGAGAGCTTGGGTAGGGCAATTGGGTGCGGAGAGGAGCGCCGGCAGGGGAGGTTGGCATAGCTGAGGTACCGGCACAGCTAGGGAACAACAGTGCTGGAACAGAAAAGCTTACCCTCCAGGCGCAGGGTCAGTGCCACGCTCTCGTCCTCTATGCCATTGATGAGCTCGCAGCGGTACCGGCCCTCGTCCTCCAGGCGCACGTTCTTGATGACCAGAGAGGCGTCCAGTCGATGCCCCCTCCGCATGCTGGCACGCCCTCCCAGGTGCCCGTAGCCTCGGGCGTGCAGTCCATTGGTGATGAGGATTATCGTTTCTCGGAGCTCCCCGGGCTCCACTTTGCTCCAGCGTACCTTGTAGCTGGGAGGCGAGGTGCCCAGGACGCAGGGCAGTGTGGCCGTGGCCCCACGACGAGAGTGAATGACCTCGTGGATGGGGAGCAGGAGATAGTGGGGACCCGGATGGGGGGCTGAGCAGAGGGGCCACAGTGGCAGGCCTCTTATCCTCCTTGCCCCAAGTGCCCACTCAGACCTAGTCCCCAGAAGCTTTCCTGGGGGCTCACTGGCACCACCCTCACCTCTCCTCACTGATTCTTACTCCCTATGTACTTTCAACAGCTTCTCTTTTTAGCCCTCCATCCCCTGAACCCTTTCCCAGTGTCCTGGTTGGGGGCTGGGCTAGGCTCTTACCCGGATTCCCCAGGGCTTGGTGAAAGGTGGTGAATGCCCAGGGGAGAAGGACGCAGCAGAATGCATGGAGAGGGATCCTACTTGGCATGGTGGTGTCAGCAAGCGCCGTCTGCGGGGCACAAATGACAGACATTCCTCAGTACTAAAGGAAAAATGGGGAGGGGACCAAGATGAGGATCAGCCTCCTGCTGAATATGTGGAGGCATTTGTGCCGTTGGGAGGTAAGAGGCTGGTGGGGGGTGACCTCAGCCAGAAAACCCTGCCTTAGCATCTCCTCCGGGGTTCCCTCATCCCATCTGCTTCCCAAGCCTGCTTTTAGGATTTGGATCTCTGAATTCATTTGACAGCGTGACTTTCTACTCCAGAGTCAAAGGCAGTACGATTTCTCCTGTTTTGAAGAGTGGCTCTCCTCGTACTGCTGATACTTCAAACCTTCTTCACACATTTTCTGGGGCTCGGGGCTCCAGCCTGCCCTGCACTGCTAATGCCTATCCCCAGTCTGACTCTGCACTGGAGTCCAGGCACAATGGACTTAAGAGGCATCAAAATCTCTGGAAAACTTCCCTTCATTGTCCAATCTGTCTCGCGGTGGAGCATGAAGTCTACTGGACCAGACATGGAACTTTTCCTTATGCCCTTATCACTGGCTAAACTAAAGCAGGGCACACACACTGGTAGGGTTTCCCGTGGCAGAACATAACATTGTAGAATTATGAAAGCAGTTCCAAGTGCAGCTGTCTGTCTGTCTAGGCTGTGGCTCCCTGCCTCCTTTTGTAGTTTCCATTCTAACCTCGGTGAACTTTTTTTTAAAACAAATGGTGGACTTGACTTGTTTTTATTCAGTCACAAACTGGGCTCTTCCATATGCTAATTGCATAACCTTAACTGAGTAACAATGTCAGCCTCAGTGTCCTAGTAAAGTGGTAATTGTAGCAGGCTACTTGTGGTAGCTAGTCCTCACGTCAACCTGAATGGATTTAGAATTGCCTCTGGGCATGACTGTGAGGATGAACTGAGGATGAGGTCCACCCTTAGTGTGGGCAGCACCACCCGAAGAGCAGGAGCACCAGGCAGAACAAGGAAAGCCTGTGAGCCTAAAGCAGTCTTTCTAAAGCTGTGTCTGCTGCGTATTTTGTTCACAGCAGCAATACGCATAACTAACACTCTACACTCAGAAGTTGCAAGAATTGGGTGAATTAATCAAGGATTTGTAAAAACTTAAAACAGTGCCTGGTGGGAAAGAGTTCTAGGGAGTACAGAGTAGCTACAAGCTGTGTGTGCATTGTTATGAACTAGCATTAAATAATTAATGGAAGGAGAGATGGGAACATTGGCATAGGGTAAAGAAGGCCCCGAAGAGTATCCAAAGCACTGGGCTCCAAAGACCAGTTTGTAGCTGGAGAAACAGGTTAGTTACATTAAGATGGCTCAGAGGTTGAAAGTACTGGCTGCTCTTCCAGAGGTCCTGAGTTCAATTCCCAGCAACCACGTGGTGGCTCATAACCATTTATAATGAGATCTGGTGTCCTCTTCTGTCATGCATGCAGGCAGAACACTATACATAATAAATAAATCTTTTTTTTAAAAAAGGAACTTTCCATCAGGTGGGAGTAGTGTTCACCTTGTACTAGGGAGGTAGAGGCAGATGAGTTTGAGGCAACCTAGTCTACAAAGCAAGTGATAAGAATGTCAGGGCTACCCAGAGAAACCCCATTTCAACACCCTCACACACACAAAAGAAAAAAAACTTTCCAATAGGGGCTGGAGATACCCGAGTTTGGTTCCCAGCACCCATGCCAGGCTATTCACAACTGCCTGTAACTCCAGTTCCAGGCAATCTGGTGCTTTCTTCTGGACTCTAGGAGTACCTACTTTCACGAGCACACACCCACCCTAATATTACACACTAGTAATTAAGGAAAAACAAGAACTTTCCAATAATAAAAATGAAGTGCCTAGTAGCACTCAGGAGGCAGAGACAGGTGGATCTCTGTGAGTTTGAGTCTAGCCTGGTCTACACAGAGAGTTCTAGGACAGCCAGGGCTACTTCGAGAGACCTTTCTCAATTAAGACAAAACACTGTGTGGGACAGGAGTTCATATAGGACAACGTTGTCAAGTAAACGTGACCTTTACTTTTGGAAGCTGGTGAGATGGTCCCATGTGTAATGGCTATTACCACCAAGCCTGATGACCTGAGTTCAAGTCCCAGCAACCCAGGTATTTAAAAGAGAGAGCTAGCTCCCATAAGTCGTCCTCCGATTCCATTCGCACACCCTGGCACAAGCACACCACACCTGAACACTAAATAATAAAATGTTTCTAAAATAATGGACCAAGTGTGATGTAGGTTAACCTACCATCAGCATACTTGAAGTACAATCTGATCTAAGCACTTTACTACATACTGTGTGTTTATGTCTCTGGAGATTTAGGGAGGCAAAATTAATACCACAGGGGCAGTCACAGACCTGTGAAGGGAGAGTTTGCTGGGGTTTGATTCCAGACCTGACAGGCTTGAGCTCTTAGCCACTGGTCTAGAGTTCTGGAGTTAGGAGAAGCCCACATACACCATTTCCACACCCCTTGTAAAAAGAAGCCAACACAGTAGCCTGAGTTCAGTGCCTACCTGAAAAGATGACCTCTCCTCAGAGAAAGGGCGTGGTGCTTAGCAGCTTCCTATCCTGCTGAAGAAGGTGCGGTGGAAGTGCTGTTGAGGATGCTAGCGGTTCGAAGCACCCTAATGGCCTCAGGACTTGGGCATCTGGTCGATGATCTGACTCCTTTGACACTTCTCCAGGAAGGCTTGCTTCCTGTGCTCAAATAAGCTGGATGCTGAGACCTGTTCCCCAGCTCACACTAAGCCAGTGGTGACAGGATCCGTGGCTCCTGCTGTCTTGGGGCCAGGCCAGGTCGGGATGACGGAGGACAGAGCTGATCACCTGGAAGAGAACAGAGCGGGCCCTGCAACTTCTCCTCTTCTTAGACCAGGGATGGGACAGACCAACTGCAAGTACAAGTGTGTTGGTCCAGGCAGGGTGCGGATGAACCTAAGTGTGAATTCAGCTCTGTATTTCCATATGGACCTCATCCAAACAACAAAATTGCCCCTCCCTCCACCTAAGCCCTCACCTGTGCCCTCCGTGCCAGGCTACATATGGCCTTTTGGAAGAGACTGTCAAAGTGGGAATCACTTTCAGAATGTCCGGCTGCTTCGGGGCCCTGACCCTTTCTGTCTGTCTGTCCTTTCCTTTTCTGTTCCCACCCCAATGGAAACACAATTTCCCATTGTCTCTGTCTTTCCCCTATTGTTGGATAACAGGGCCCTTTTATTCATCCCTTGGGCAATGGTATGGAAATGCCAGCAGCTGGGGATATGCGATGTGGGATGCAGGACAGGCTGGCACAAAGCACCGGAAAAAGGCCAGGGTGGTGATTAGCTCTGAGCAGAAACTAACATCCAAGGAGGATATAGGGGAAGACTGAAATGAAGCACCCTCAGTACTTCAAACTCCGGCATTGCAAGAGAGTATGCATTGTCAAGAGATGCTGAGGAACCACCTCATCTGCCTCTGGGAAGGCACAAGGTGGAACTATGGAAGCTCCCTGGTATTTTTCTTATTATTTTAGAGGTATGAGTGTCGCTTTGGATGTATGGTGGTGCATGTCTGTGGCATGTCATGTGGTGTGTGCATGTCTTATTATTTTAGAAGTATGGTGTGCCCACAGTGCCCTAAAAGATCAGGAGAGGGCATCCCTGTGTGAACCACAACTTGGGTGCTGAGAATGGAACCTCGGTCCTCTGAAAGAGCAACAAGTGCTCTTAACCACTGAGCCATCTCTCCAGCTCCTAAAACTAAGGTCATCTGAATAGTCAACTTCTCCCTCCTCAGCACAGAATCATCTTTGTTTAAATTTTCAGGAGAACTGGTGAGATGCTCAGTAGGTAAAGGCACTTGCCGCACAAACCTAGCAGCCTGAATTCAATCAGCAGAATGCACAATGGAAAGATAAAACTGACTCTCAAAAGCTGTCCTCTGGCCTCTACACCCAAATTCAACCTGCAGTCCCTCACACACAATAAAAACAACAAAATTTTAAAATTCTGAAGAGGCCAAGTGTGGTGGTTCACATCTCTAATGCCAGCACTTGAAATGCTGAGGCAGGAGGATTGCCATGAGTTTGAGACCAGCCTGGGTCACAGAGTGAAATCTTCCTTGAAAACAAATAAAAACAGGGTCAGAGAGAGGCCTAGAGAGGCTAAAACCACTGGCTGTTCTTCCAGAGGACCTGGGTTCTATTCAGGTCACACACGGCTCACAACTGTAACTCCAGGCCCAAGGGATCTCACACCCTCTTCTGGCCACTGTAAGCACCAGGCACACATATGATATACAAACACACATACAGGAAGACACCCACACTAATATTATATAAGTTAATTTCCTAAGAGGAGGAGCTTTAATCTCTTGGGCAGAAATTTACTTCCTCTCCTGTTTTCCTGGTCTGGCCTCCTGGTGAAGTCTACTCCCACAGAGTTACAGTTCATGTACAGTCGTACAAAGCTGAGGTGTATACCTGGAGTTGTTCTTACCTGTGTACACCATATAGACAGGTCCCCGTTGACAATTCAGATTAAGACTAAGACTCCTGGCTTCTACCAGTGCAGAGGACCTGCCCCCACGACAGTTATTTAGAAGTCTTTTTTTAATTGCTTCTCCCTCTTTTTCCTAAGATTTTATTATTTTTAGCTGGGAGTGGTGGCACCCGCCTTTAGTCCCAGCACTCAAGGCAAAAGCAGGTGGTTCTCTGGAGTTTGAAGTTGATCTGGTTTACACAGCAAGTTCCAGAACAGATAAGGTTACAAAAAGAGACCCTGTCTCAGAATAAAAATAAAAGATTTTATTTATTATTTAGTGTATAGGTAAGTGCAGGTGAGCAGCCGAGGAGGCTGGAAGTGTCAGGTCCTATGGCACAAGAGTTACAAGCAGTTGTGAGCTCCCAGATGTGGGTACTGGGAACTGAACTCAGGTTCTCTGCATAAGTAGTTCAGGCTCCCAGTCACTGAGCCATCTCTCTAGCCCCTTCAGATGGCTTCTTAGCCATCCTTTTCCCTGTGGAACAACTGCACCTTGTAGCTTCAAGGTCTTAGCATTATTTACTTTTAGAACAGAGCCCAGACAGGTAGAAATGAGAAAGACTATACTGCCCACCAAAGCTGATTTACAAATTAAACTTTTCACCTTTTTGTTGTTTGGTGTTTGAGACAGGATCTCACTGTGTACATATGGCTGGCCTGGAACTAGCTCTCGTAGACCAGGCTGGCCTTGAACTCACAGAGATCCACCTGCCTCTGCCCCCGCCCCCCAGTGCTTGGTATAAGGGCATTCAACACCACACCCAGCCTCCCCCGACTTCGTCACCTTAAATGCGTGTGGGTGTTTTACTTGCGTGATGTCTGTGCACCACATACATGTCTGCTGCCTACACAGGTCAGAAGAGGGCATCAGACCCCCTGGAACTGGAGTTATAGACAGTTGTGAGACTGTACGTGGGTTTTGGTATTCGAACCCTGGTCCTCTGGAAGAGCAGTCAATGCTCTGGATGACTACTGAGCCATCCCTCCAGCCCTCCAGTTTTCCTGCTAATGCTTCTCCTTTCTTGGTCTCCCTAAGCCTGATGAGTTCCCAGAATATTGTTTGGGAATACCTGACAAGAGGTCCAGCCGGTTACACACTGCTCAGGGCCAGGCTGACCACCCTTTTCTAAGCTGCCACACCTCCCACCCCCAATCCTGCTGCTAAGCCTTACTCCTCCTGGGACCTAGCCATTTCTCCCTAGTGAGAAAACAATTAGCCTGCTGTTTCAGGGTTCAGGACAGCCCGATCCTGTGCATCTGACTGGCTTCCTCCCAAGGCAAACAGAGGAGAGAAGCCAGTCTAGTGCCACCCGGGAGGGGCTTCTCCTCCCCGGAGGGAGCCGCTGGCGCTGGCTTCTCTCCTCTAGTTGTGCACTGAGATTCTCCAGCATGGAAGGGCTGAGCGTGGCCTCTGGGAACTACTACTGCAGAGAGAGTCCTCTAAGGAAAACTGAGGAAAGAGCACCTGCTGAACTGCCCGGTTGTGTGTTCAAGGCTACTTCCAGTTCAGTGCCCAGGGCCTCTTGAAGAGGAATCAGGTGAGTGCTCCCACTTGACTTAGCTTATCTTCCCTGGTTTAGTGGTTTCCAGGGAGAGGTTTGACCTCAGGATTCCACTCCCTGTCCGCCGCTTCCAGCTTGGTGGCCTTGGTCAAGTCAAACGTGGTCCCAGTTTACCCCCAGGTACACACATGAATTGCTGTAAAGCTGGCAGGATGTCACTGTAAGGGTTGAGAGGGGTGTGTGTGACTGGCAGGGGGCTTTCACAGTTGCGTCCAGGGTCTTCTCTAGGTGACTGATCTAGGTGCCACATTAAGGGGTGAGCCTGAGAATGAACCCTGAGGCATCTTGCTTCCGCTCAAGGCACTGAACTGGTTAGAGTGAGGGTTCAAATAAGAAAAAAAAAAGTGGGGGATGGACACTACGCTGGAGAGATTTGAAACCACTAATCTGCAACAGCAACACCTTTTCAGATGAAAGGAAGAAGGGAGGAAAAGAGAGAGAGGAAGGCAAAAGATGGCACAACCTGACCTCAGCCTCCATTTGCAGCCTAGGTAGAGGCTACTGCCCTGGCAGGGGACTGCACCTCCTCTCATTGCCCTGCCAGCCCAGAAGGTCTGGCAGGGGTGCAGCAACCTTCTCTTCACTCTGCTCCCTTGAACAGGAGTCCCCCGATACCTGCTCAGAACCTAGAACCCCAAGGAGGCTGTGGGAGGGAAGAGCTCCCTGACATAGGGCTCCTTCCTGATACCATGCTCTCACCCCAACCTACCAAAGGCCCAAGGGATCCAGAAGCTCTTCTCAGGATTGTTGAAGGTTTAATGACTGAATTTTGCTTATGAAGAATCACGTCAGCCACAATCTGCTTGCAACACTCAGCCCACTGCTGTGCTAATTGAGCCAGTGAACCAATCTTTTGTCCAGCTGCCCCTGTGAGTAACTGAGTTTCTTGATCCCTCGTTCTGTTAGACCACCTTGTTCTCCTGGGCCTTAAGGCTTGCCTGCAGATCCTCCTAGTGTAGTCTCCTGAGTAACCCAGCTATAGACTTGAGGAACGACACCAGCTTTGCCGTCCAGGACCTTGCTGTCTTGCCTGTCTGTTGGTGCACACTCCCAGATTTACATCCAGGACCTTGCTGTCTTGCCTGTCTGTTGGTGCACACTCCCAGATTTACATGGGTCGGTCTTAAACCCAGGCCAGATGGAATGGCTAAAAGAAACAAGGGCTCCCCATTTTGTTTCCTCTTTCTCTACACTCTGTTGAAGAGGCAAATCCACCTCAGCAAAGGGGCTGTTTATTTCAGAACCATGAGGGGCAGACATAGTAGGTGTGATGGCTATTCTTGACTGTCGCTTGATTACATGTGAACTTAACTAAAACCCAAACAGTTGAGTAAACTTGTGAGATTTTTCTTGATTGAATCATCTAAAGCGAGAAGATCTGCTGTCATTCCTGAGGTGTCCCCTGACAAGTCTGTAATGCCCATGATTCCAAAAGGGGCACAGAGATGAGCCACTCCGGAGACAGTTTCAGGCAACGGCATCTGCTTTACTGCATGTGAGCAGCTACTTATATAATGGTGAGCACTTTACCTCAGATTGGACAGTGAGCACGCATATCATCAGGGTCTCTGTGGGAAAGAAGAGAGATCACCCAGAAAGTGAGGAGATGAGGTGGGAGAGAAGAGTGAGCCTGTGGAAGTGGGGACAGAGTTGATTCAGGGTGTATTTGGTTTGAATAAGAATGGTCCCCATAGGCTCATATATTTGAATGCTTAGTCATCGGGGAGTGGCACTACTTGAGAAGGATTGGGAGGTGTGACCTCGTTGGAGTAGGTGCCCTGTTGGAGGAAGTTGACAGACCAGCCTGACTCTATTTTAGGATGAGAAGCCATCTTGTTACAAGGTCAAAAGAAGTTCATTGCTATTTTCTGTAAAAATTTAAATTTGATCATGTCTTAATCTGTTTTTTGGAATTTTATATGTTCCACATTCTATATCCTGAGCTCCACCCTGATAAGATCAGATGTTCCGCCAAGTTCCCACATAAACCAGAAACTCTTAGAAACCCTGGCCTTGCAGTTTGGGGAATATAAAAACCCTATTCCTCCTATGTTTGGAGTTATTCTCTCAAACCCCATCTTGGGGAGATAACCTGTCAGAAAATAAAGCTTACTTAAATTAACCAAAAATTAGAGTCAATGACCTCTATTCTCATTTGATGAGATTAACAAAGTGTGTCACTGGGGTTGGGTTTTGAGGTTTCAAAAGCTCAGTGGATCTCTCTTCCTGCAGATCTGGATGTAGAACTCTCAGCTTCTTCTCCAGTTCCATGTCTGCCCATGTACTACTGCGCTCTCTAAGTGGACTGGATCTCTAAAACTATAAGCCACCCCAGTTAAATGCTTTCTTTATAGGAGTTGTCATGGTCATGATGTCTCCTCACAGCAATAGAAACCAGGTGATTGCTGCTGCTGTGACAGGCCTGACCATGCTGTTTGTTGGTGGAATGTAGACTGAGATGTTTTGGATTAGGAAAGCAGTTGAACACTTCAAGCAGGATTTAATGGGTCATACTAGTAGGAGCAAGGAAGATAGTGGGGCTGAAAACAATGTTGATTATGGTGGCTCAGCTCAAGAGGTTTCAGAGGAGAATAATATTAGTAAGTAACCTAGAATATTCTTGTGTTTGATGAAGAATGTGACTGCTTTTTCCCTTGTCCAAAAAAATCTGCCTGAGGCTTTGGGCTGCCTGAGTTTTGGACTAATGGAATTGGCAGAGGAGACTTCAAGACTCTATCGTGAGGTTGTTAATAACCATTTTTATGCAGATCTATAGCATAGTGACTAAGACACAGGGTGACATTGACTAGTTGCCAGGAACGCAACACCATTGTGAGCTAGCAGAAGCATGGGTTGGGGGCTATAGGACATCAAAGGAAAGTGACAGAGAGAAGAGAGGACGAACATACAGAACTGGATCTGGCCTGGGGTGAAAGACAGAAAGGGCCACTGCGGCCAGGGCTTCTCCACGGCAGCTGAAAGGTCTTTTTTACAGTTGTATCAGGAACAAATGGAGCTGATGTAGGTGAGGGTCATTCCTGTTTGGGTCTAGGGGGAGGTTTAGAAAGTAAAGCGCTTAACAGACAAAGAGAAAACATGAGTATGAGGTAAGGAGAGGAGTAACCCAGGGTAGGGCTAGAGAGGTAGGGAACAAAAACCCATATATAGGAAGAGACTAAGGCTGAAATTTTTGTCTGGTCCTTGTGTCTTTGGGCCCTGTCTCAAACCAGTTAGTCCCCTTCTCAGAGGTCACCTGAGCTGCATCAGGGATTTAGGAGCACCAATCTTACTTAACAGTTTCCATCTGACAAAAAGTGTGTTGTAGCAGGGACAGAAGTTAGAGTGTCTCAGAGGAGGGTTCCCCAAGGGCTAGAATAAAGCATAACAGATGGCAAAGGTCCAGAACATAAGACAGCCATTTGATAACAGTATGTATTCTTGTGGTACACTAAGCAAGGGAGGCAGTCTCTGTAATATATAAAAAATAAGCAAGGCGGTGGTGGCATACACCTTTAATTCCAGCACTTGGGAGGCAGAGGCGGGCAGATCTTTGTGAGTTCAAGGCCAGCCTGATCTACAAGAGCTAATTCCAGGACAGGCTCCAAAGCTACAGAGAAACCCTGTCTCGAAAAAGCAAAAACAAAACAACCTCCCCCCCCAAAAAAAAACCCACTGGGATGGAGAGATAACTCAGAGGTTAAGAGAACTGATTGTTCTTTCATAGGTCCTGAGTTCAATTCCCAGCAACCACGTGGTGACTTAGAACCATCTGTAATGAAATCTGGTGCCCTCTTCTGTCCTGCAGGCATACATGCAGACAGAACACTGTATGCATAGTAAATAAATCTTAAAAACAGAAGAAAAAGCTGGGATTTCTCTCTGTAAACTGGATACAACCCAAGTCCTCATTACAAACACTTCATTAAGAAAAAAATAAGATAGACTTTTAGTACTAATGTCATTTTTACTGAGTATATAGTTAAGAAAGTAGGACAGTGGTATCCTTAGTCGAAGAAAAGAACAGGCAAGAAAACCATCCCAGGAATCTTTGGCAGGCTTTGTCAAAGGTGTTAGGAAGACTGAACTACAGAACTCTGGTGTGTGGTCCCGCCAGTTGTATAAATGCATTTCCTCTACTAAACAAGCACACCAGTCAGGTGGGAAGCTTATGTACAAGGTTCCTTTGTGTGCAGCATCCACGTATGTCAGTCTAGAACACACTGAGGATGAGTAATTTTGATTCTTTGTTGTTGGGAGACAGTTAGGATGTGGGTGCAGACTCTGAGATCCTCCACTGCAAGAGACAAGAGCAATTCAGCTTCTGTATAGATGCAGGAGATTTACATGCTTCTTCCTCCACGCATCCTTGTCCTGTAATGAGGTTAGCATGCAACTTGATCCATCCAGATAGCAAAGCACGGGATGGGTGTTCCTAAGGGATGGCCGGGATGGCCGTGCTGTGCCACCCTGCTTTTTCTAGAGAATTCCTAATGCGCATGAATGGGAAGTCCTGCAGGGGAGGAAACCTGCCAGATTTTAACTCAGAACTCCAGTGAGCCTGAAACCCTGCTCTCATCCCAGAGACCTCTTCAGAGAACCACTTGTATACATTTGCTTTCAAAGGTCTGGGGAGAATAGGGCCATGGAATTTATTTGGGCATTGAAGAATGGGTTCCACCTAGCTGACTGAGGTGAGGGTGCCTATGGCTGATTCTCTTAGTAGCCAACTTGGTGAGCTTGTAAGACTTTAAGACAATTCTGAAGCCATTTCTGAACCCTCTCAGCCTCCATGCCTTAATGCTTCCCCTCCTCCCCTGGGAACCAAGGACCTAACAGCTACACATGCACGTACTCAGTTCCTGAACAATTACATATATATATATATATATATATATTGACTCAGTCCCCTGGGAAACGGGGTCAAAATGACCTCTTACCTCATCTGATCTGACAATAGTTCTCCAGTCAATTATTGG